TGAGAGAGAGCGCCAGTTTGGTCTAGTATGTAGTTAAGGCATCAGGCTAGAAACTCTACTTCTTGCATTGTTTGGAAAAGGAAGTATTTATTCTAAATTGCTTCCTGAAATGATGGCTATTCCAAAGATTCCTGCTGCAGGATGTGAAAAGCTTCCTTCAGAAGGACAGGCACTTCATCTAGCAAAAGAGAATCTAATGAATAAATGATCTGCCTCTGTTATGGCTTATGATTTCTTTTGACCTGCCTAAGAACCTCTTTTTACAATTCTGCTTGAGGGCCTCAAGCGGACTCCCTCAAGCTGCCACCATCCAGAAGCATTGGGCTGTGGGTTCAGCTCTGCAGTGCTCCCAAAATGTGGGGAAGGCTCGCTCCATTGTGCAAGTATATGTGAATTAGTATGGAAAAGTTTTGATTGCTTTTTGTGAAACTAAATTTCTACATTTCCCTTGTTCAAAAAGGGGACTTTTTTTTTTTTAAAAAAAAAGCCTTTGTTAGTATTGTGCCAATGAAATTAATCCCCTGTCTCCCTGCAGCTTAACTTTTGAAGATCAGAAAATCCTTTTTATGACTTCCTCTGTCATGTCTAGATTAGTTTATGAACTTGATTAATTGGTTTGGAGCAATGCCATATGTTTTCTACATGTTGGAGGAGTTATTCAAATGTAGATCTATAGGTTTTTTTAAAGATAGGGACACATGAAGCTGGTCCCTGTCTTTTATTTTGGCCTGGTTCCCACAATATACTAAGCTATGCAATGTGGTTTGTTTGGTTTGGGCTTAGCATGTTGTGAGAAACCAACCAATTCTGGCATGGTCCACAAGTTGTAGTTATAAAAACCATGGTTTAAGCATCACAAGTACAGAGACTGTGAAACCCAATCACTGAGTTGGACCATTGTCTGTTTTGACTGGCAGTAGTTCTCCAGAATTTCAAAAAGGGATGGATAGTGGATATTAAGATTTGGACCTTCTGCATGTAAAGAATGTGCTCTCCCTCTGAACTAGACTCCTGCTTTTAATAATAGTTTATACTGAGTATAACATTTACCAGCTCTTCTGCTTCTTTCAACAACTACTTCAGTCACTTGTGACATAGTAATTATCCATTTATATCTTCTATGTTCCATCTCAACCAAACTTCTGATTCACTCTTTACAGTGCCATGGTTTCTGTATAGCTATTGGAAACAGCAAATCTGTATGTGATATTTGGACCCCATTTCCTTCAAGAAATTAAAAAAAACCCCAGTGTTCTAGTTCAGTCTTCCTTAACCAGGTAATAGGGAGCACAGTAGAGTCTCGTTTAACCGACCTTCGCTTATCCGACATTCCGTCTTATCCGACGCCCCTAAACAACAACACGCATAAATTGGCGACAAGAAAAGTGTGCCGCTTGTTTGCAAGCGTGAGTGTACTCTTTCTTGTTGCTCCTGACGGTGTGCCGCCGCAACGCAAAAATCGATTGCAACAGGCGCAGCGGATCGTTTTTTTTTTTACTGCACTCAGTAAAATGTCGGATAACACACCGACATTTTTTTTTACTACACTCAGTAAAATGTCGGATAACACACAGTAACGATTGCACTCAATCGTTACTGTGTGTTATCCGACATTTTCGCTTATCCGACGTTCTGCCGGCCCGTTTATGTCGGATAAACGAGACTCTACTGTAGTAGTTAAAGTTTTGGATTAGGGCTTGGGAAATCCAGGTTCAAGTCTCCACTGGAATACAAAGCTTATTCAGTAATTTTGAGTCAGTTACTATCTCTTAGTTCAGCCTAAATGAGAGAATAAAATAGGGGAGACACTTGCCTCTTCCTGAGGAAAGGCATGATATAAAAGCAGTAAATACATTCCCAGAATTCCTAATCAGTATATTTGATGGTGGTTTTAATCTCCCCTTCATTTATCTCCCCCAAAGATAAAGGATTGTTTTTGGACAGTGATAACCAACCTGACAACCTCTGCTTGTTTCCCAAATATTCTTTGCCATCAGCCACCCTAGCTGGGACTGGGGGGGGGGGTCCAAAACATCTGGAAGGAATTAGGTTGTCTTAGGTTGTTTGTCTTAAAGTAGAAAACTTTAAATTGTTCTTTGAATGGAAGCTGAGTCATTTATGATCACACTGATTCCTGCCTCGTGCTTTCAACTCAGTACATACAAACACTCTGCTTGAAATTTATAATAGAAAATCAGTGTTCACTTTTTAAAAAAGCCATAAATAAACCCTACCCTAAACCCTAAGCATTAAACCCAAGTTCGTCTCATTCTGTTTTAGGAAAGCAGGTAATTGGTCTCCTAGCAGAATAGCTCTGGTGTGAATGCCAAGACGAATAGGGTAATGTCTGACTTTTGTGTTCCAGACCAGACATAACTGCACCCGATCTCTATTTAATCGTTGCTTTACCAGTTCTGAATGGATGGGATGTTTCACGGTGCCAAATAACACACTCTCTCCCTTGCTCTGTTTTTTAATAGAAGCTAAATGCATTTCTGGAACAAAACTGGAGTTTCTTCCCTCCCCTCCCATCATGCATCATTTTTGTTTATGGAAAAGCTATTTGGTTCGCTCATGTTTTCTTTTAGCTGGCTGATTTTTTGTTTCTTTGTTTGCACTGGAATGTGTTAAACTTCTCGTAAGTTAATTTTACTGGTCGCTTTTGTTAAAAAGTACATTTTGTATAAGTGAAAGATTAAAGGCATATAACAGCAGAAAGCCAAAACTTTTGTGAGCTAAGAATGAGACAGCAGCATGTTTTGCAATAATTGTGAGGATACAGGGATCAATAGTAATCAACCATAATAGGCCTCTATTATCTGGTGAAGGTGTGAAACTTGGGGGGAAAGTAAAAAAAAGATCAGGAAAAAAATATAATGACACAGGAAAAAAGGATCTGATTCAAATGTACAAGGCTGAACCTCATTTTCTCTCCCATGAGACTCTCTCATAACTTACTTCTAGGACTCTCATGTTGGTACTCAGATTGGAGATGCTTCCAGGCAGGTGGCTCTTGGTGCTATCAATTAAAAGATATTGTATAACTGTTATGCCTCTTCCTCCTGGGTGTGCACGTGAGTGTGTTTCTGGGATAAAAATGTTTTAAAAAAAAATCCTGGAGAACAAGGGATGCAAATAGAAGCTGCCACCAGCAACTCCCATAACATTTTAGATGAGGCAGAATGATAGCACAGTAAATGCCTCATCTAGAAATGAAAAAAAAAATCCCTTTGGTGGATTTGGACAGAGGAAGTAAACAGTTCTAGGCAATTTTTATCTTTGTGATCCTTCTGCTGTTTTAAGCCTGATGCCAGGCCTGTCCATTTATAAAGAGATGGTTCTGCCATCACCACATCTTGTAAGATGATTGAGATATGATTCAGAGCATTGTTTCCATTGATTTTGGAAGGAACTTTCCTCAGGATGCACTGGTAAAGTTGTAATTTCACTTGGTCTGGAAGAAGTATCATTTGGAGAAATCTGTTCAGTTCCTGGACTTGTAAATGTTAGCTGAGACCTATCTAGCTGTGGGGAGGGGAGGTTGAGCACAAGAAACTGATAAAAAAGTGTTGAAATGTTGCAAGAGCAGTGAATGGGGTGGTGGGTGGATTCAGGCATGTTCAGACTTGAGGAGTGGAAACAGTTGCTTTCAAATGGGCTTAAACTAGAGCAAGGAAGGTTGGAGTTAAGCATCTTTCTGAGTGTGAGATTAGCAGGGGTACATGTTCCCAACGTTGGTTTTAAAAACTTTAGCAACTGAAAAGCTTAAAAGTGAAGCTGGAGAAATTCCTACGTTCTTTCCTTAAACTGAGCAGTTACCAACCAAGGAATGTCATCTGCAAAGGCTGCAGTCCATGTTAATATAGCACGTAATTCTTTGTATAGAATTGGGACTATTAAGGTATGGCTAATCCAGTTTCAGCATGGCCAGAACAAGCAAGCTGATCAGAGATTTTCATACTTGGCCCTTGTGAGCCAAGTAATTAAAGGACAACGCACCACTTTGAGCCTTTCCAGTGTGAGCAAAAAGTGAGTGAAAGCAAATTGGTAAGGCAGTGATCCTCCTCCTTCTAGGAGCCAGACTTATTCTATACATTGTAAAGAATTACGTGCTATATTAACATGGACTGCAGCCTTTGCCGATGACATTCCTTGGTTGGTAACTGCTCAGTTTAAGGAAAGAACGTAGCCTGTCTAAGGACCCTCACAAACAGAATTTTCAAATGTACAGGGGAGTAGGACTTCTGTGTATCTGAAAGCTGTGCATGGGAGAGAATATTGATATGAATGGTTTGTTGTGCAAGAATGAGGAATGCGTATCTGCTAAAATGAAAGCAACAGGAGCAGGCTGGCTGCCTTTGCCTGTAGTTGTCCATGTGCAAGTATGTGGCAGATATTTGCAGGACTTGCTTATCTGTCATCATCCTAATCATGGTTTGTTTAACCCAGTTTTGCATAAACTGACTCAGTGGGTTGTGTTTGCACAGTACATTGGGCAAAAATGTGATTGGCCTGTTTGCAGTTCATGTTACAGTATTCTGCAAAACAACTGATGTATGGAGTAGCATGTGTCTACAGAATTAACGAAATGTTTGCATGTCCATTTGGTTCTGGGAGTTTTAATTATTTTTCATAGGAAAGAATTTCTTGGAGCAGATGAAGTACTACTTCTTCTAGTTGATGATTATTTATTCTCACCAGTGTAATCAAAACTGGAAGGTCCTGGGTGTGCAGTATGTAAGCCTGAGAATTTGGGAAACAAGTTAACTTACCCTCTTAAGAATGCAATATCCCATTATGCCCTTTCTGGCACATTTTCATTGCTCTTTCTCTCAAGAACATTATTATTCCACACCCCTGGAGTGCCTAACAAACTTCAGCTTTGTGGATATAAATTTTATCAAAGATTTTTTTTTAATTAAAAAGGAGGGGGAGTATTTTTTAAAGGGAGTTGGGGAAAAGTACTATAAGAAAAAAAAATGATCCTATTATTTCTTCAGTAGAAGACTCCATCAAAGTGAAACCTCCTAATTCCCCGCGTGCGGAGTGGGTGCTGCAGCCTAGACCTACACCGCCCAAAGGGAGAGACCCGAATGCTTGGAACCGGCTCAAGGACCAATCTTTTGGTAGGAAAAACCCAACATTTTTCACGGATGGCCAGTTGTTGTCAACAGGGAGGGATGACTGCCACATTGTGTTCTCTTTCTGTCTCTCATCTCTCTCTTTCTTTGGTGGCAGATGATCCACAAGGCTGCCTTTCTGTGTTGCTTTTTTAGTGAGGGTGAGGGGGGCTTTTTCTTGACTTTGCTGCATGCCTTTGGGGGGTGCTTGAGAATGCAATTGTCTGTTCTCTTGCCAGTTCTTGGTTGTTTTAGGGGGGATAACCCTGATTCTTCTTTCTTTCCCCTTTGGGTGAGCTGATTATTTTGGGATTATTTTCAGCATCAACCTCCTAGTGAATGCGTGATTTACACAACAGTCCTGACTTAAGATAAGGACTATGTTGAACTGCAAAGTCCACCTAATAAGTAGAAAACCAGGCTTAACTCCCAGGCATCTGGATGTTTCCCTGAGTCAGAGGAATGGTCCCATGGAATAAGCCTTAAAAGGAGCTACAAGATGTGGGTTGGTTGCAAAACTCTGGGTGATCACTAGGGGGGAGCAAACATCTCTATCTCTTTGATGCCACTTTAAAATATATTAGATTTAAGGCCACTTGACTCTAGAAGACATCTGGGCAGCTTACATTATAACAGAATTTTAAAAAAAATAGTAATAGAAGAAACCCTGAATGTCCAGACAAAACGAATTACCCACAGAGCACCCAGAGAGTGACTCAAGAGCCATCTTATTCCAGAGCCTGGGAGAAGAGCCGAGGTTTAAAGGCTTCTGGAATGCTATTAGGGTGGGAGCCACATGGATTTTGGAGCGGGGGATGCTAGTCCAGAGGCAGGCACCACCATGTAGTGGTCATCTGGAGTTTTACAGCCCAGATTGGATAGGCCTAGCCTAAAACCTATGCCTTGCTCGAATAGGCAGCATCATTGGCAGAGAGCTTCCTCCTGCTGCCCTTGAAGATGGAGCATTTAGTTGTTGTTTTCCATCAGCTCTGGATGCAAGGCATCTCTGTGTGAGAGCTTTATTAATGAGAAATGCCTACCACTTCCTTGCTTTGCTGCTGCCAAAAGCTGGCAGTGCTGAAGCACAGTGGCTGAGCTTTTGAAAAGGCTGAGTCTGGGTTTATTTAGTTTGTAAATGAAAGAGTTGTTCTGAGTCTTAGGGCTTTTTCAGTCTCTCCACACCACCCCTTCGGATAGCAGAGCCGAAGATTCAGCAGAGCCAACATTTGCAAACTTTCCAGGGTGTTTTTACGTCGCTTAAAAAGAAAAGAAAAAGATTTTTTGGGCTTGGAACACATTGATTTTTAAAATTTTAATAAATGGTTCCCCTGGTTTCATTTATGCTCTTTTTCTAACTTCAGTTGTGGTTGGTCTGTAATATTATTATATATAATGTTTTCCTCCATAATATAAAATGATTTTTTGCAGGTGCCAATATCCAACATGATCTCAGATTGCATTTGAATGTTCTCTCTCTCTCTCTCTCTCTCTCTCATATATATAATCCAATCTTCCCCAGCTTGATATTTTCCAGATGTGCTGGAATGACAACTCCCACAATTCTCAGCCAACCAAAAGCCATGCTGTCTGAGAATTGTGGGAGTTGTAGTTCCAGCATCTTGAAGGTTGAAGAAGGTTCATGGAAAATGTAACAGCCTGGCCTTATGTTAATACTATTCTATTAGTATTAGAATAGTATTAACTATTAACCATGGTAGTTAATTCTCTTATCTTTGTAAAGAAGAGTAAGGACATGCTGTGAATCCAGAGTCTTTTTATCATCATATTTTTGAGAGTATAGAAGTATTGTTATGCACTTCACTCATTATAATTCCCTTTGGCCAAGACTTGCAATCAACTCTGGTGCTCAGTCACAGGCTAGGTTCAGACATTGGGCAAAGTCATAATGCTATTTGCTTGGTTGGGGTTGTTGTGTGAATCCAGCTACTGTCTTGTGATTGGTAAGTTGGTGGCCTGTTCAGCAAACCAGTTATAAATGAATGGTGTCACTGATTATAGCAAAGTAGCAGTCTCTCTTGTTTGTTTTCCAATTCTGGGGGAGGAATAACATGACCTGCAGGATAGGAAGAAGAATAAATGATATAATATCTACCTGATAAGGTTAAGCTGCATGTTCTAAAACAGTTTAGTTTTTAGTTTCTATGTAAAACATTAGATACAAAAAACTGTGGATTGGGGTTTTTTTCCCTACTTATCCTACGTGTATTAGTTATCCATTTGTTTTTGTGCAAAAAAGTAATTGAGAGCAGAAGATCTGCAGTGAAAATGTTCTTTTAGTGTGAGGCCATATATGAAGAGTAAAAATTAAGATTTCCTCCTTTATTTCCCTCAGGGGCAATCTTCCCTTTACTTACCCATCCGGAAGGCTCTGATAGGAGGAGTTGACATCTCTTAACCTCCTCTTGGTTTAGATCAGGGCCCCTGAGTGTGGCCTGTCCTTAAGAAGACTGCTGTGGGCTTGTAGAGCAACAGACTCTGATTTGCTTAAAGCTGTGGAGAGCTGTGCAGAGCGTTCTGGCTCCTAGTACTGTAGCTTGTGCCTGAGTATCACATCTGGTATGAGTTCACAGTGTGTGCCCCTAAGCCAGTGCCCATTTGCTTCATGCTTGTAACCATTATTTCCAAGGGCAGTAAGTGAAGCCCATATATACAAACATTGTTCTTTTGCTGTTTTGCATTTTGCAGTCCAGTCCCCTCTTCTCCTTCGGCACAACTGAATCAGAGCTGATAGATCCACTTAATTTTATTGTGAAGGTTGGATAGTTGATGGGACAAAATCTGACTTAACAATGGCAATAAACCCCAGCATTATATAGCGGGGCTGGGACGTGTAATAATTTCTCTTTCCTTTCTGTTGTGGGATTTTACAGTTTGGTGGCAACCTTGTCTTTTGTATCTTGTTAATCTGTTTACAGAGGTTTCTTGGCCCCCTGATTTTATCCTAGGCCTCAGCCTTGGCATCTGAATTGCCTCAACTCTGCTTCAGCAGCTTCATGCTGGGTATTCTTGGATAAAGGAAGATTGAAAGGGGTGCAGCTATGAAGTCTAACGTGTGGCAAGCCCAAGGATGAGAGGTTGTGGGGTTTGTTTGTTTGGTTTTTTTGGAAAGTTGTTGATATCTAATCTAATAGGAGATTTGTTATCCGACCATCTTTCTATTATGGAAGTGTCAGGATTCTGCAGATACTGCCTATTGAGTCTCTGTCCAGTTCACACAACAAGCTAACCCATGGTTTGTTTAGTGGTGGTTTATGAAGGAAAATCACAGCTGGTTAATTTTGTACAGTACACTATAGCTTATAAACTACATTGGCTGGTTTCATGTACTATGGTAAACTAAAGATGAAGAAACTGCAGTATGACTTAATATGTTGTGTGAACTACTTTCCTGGTTTTCTTTTTTTATTGTGAAGAGTGGTAAAGCAAACTTCCCTGGCCAGATATACTGGGCTGCAGTTCACGTTAATTCGCAACCAGCCTGTGCAATGACCATGGTTCCTTGGGGATTAGAGGCGTGGTATTTTGGAACATCTGGAAGGCATTATGTTGGGAAGGCTGGAGTAAAGGAGTCTTCAGGAAGAGTTCCTGTTGTGCTGACTCCTTTCCCTTGAGACTGAGCTACATAGAGACCAGCTTCCCTGCCCAGCTCTTCTCTGTCCTCCACAACTCTTTCATTATTGCTTTGGTAGGATTTATTATTACTGCTTTAAGCGTTTATATTGTGGTAATGGCTAAAGATCTCAGTCCAAGATGTGTTGGGAACCATATCAACATCAGATAAATTACAGCCCATTTCCACTAGCTTAACAGCTTTTGGAAATTACAGTGGCGTTCTCTGGTATAAGAGACAATTTCTTTACTTACTCACCTTTCTCTGTTCTCCTGAGTAGAATAAATTGAGATTAGCATATATGTTCTGTTGCATATTTTACAGCACAGTCTATTTTTTCCATGTAATCAGTTTGAGCTTTTTGTTTGATATTTGCTCTTGCTGGTTGGCCCAAAGCTAGGCCTAATGAAATTCCTAATGCTTCTGGTATATCTTTCTCTTTGACTGTATATACCTGAAGGAGCACATCACAGAAGTGATGACTTAGCCTGATGCAAAGAAGTGCTGCTACTGTACTGTTGATACATAGTGCTACTACCTAGAGGATTGAACGTGGGTTTTAATTCCCATGCCGGATTTAATAGAAGTGGTACAATAACCTCAATGGAAGTGGGTTGCTTAAGTGGGCTCCTAGTTTCCTCTTTCTGGACTGAGTGGAGTTTAGGAAATCAAACTGTTGGGGACAACTCTAAGGATCTTGGTCTGTTCATTGCAACAGTCTGAAAAGAAGCTTTGGTAAGGAAGAAACAATGGCAGAAAAGAAATAAGGACCAAAAGCCAAATGGGAAAGCTGTTTAGATTAAATTGAGAAGATAAAGCATAATGTAAAATAAACATTATAGGAAATAAAGAGTGTGCCATATTAGCATTATTAGAATCTAATAACTATTAGTAACTAATAGTAGTTACTCTCAGAGAATGATTATTCTGAAGCTGAAATGAAATTCTGGAAACACGTCGCAATAAACAAGAGATTATTGTTTTTGCTATTCATAGTCTGCCAGATTTCAACTTTTCAAGGGGAGGATAACAACTGTACTTTACATGCAGGAGATCCCTGATGAGATCCCTGGGATCTTCAAATAGATAGGAAAGATCCTTGCCTGAATTCTGGAGGTTTGGAGAGGAGTTGTTAGGAAACAAATTATGCATTCCCATTACATATATTAAACTGCAGTTAGACTTAGTAAATCAAAAAGCAACTATGATTTCAAACTGTGGTTAGTATCCTAAGACAAATCATGGCTTGCTCAGTGATCTCCATCTGTACATAATACTAAGCAATAAACCTATTTTTTCTTTATTATGGAATTTCACTGCAAAGTATTAAGGCTACAAGTATTAAAATGGGAAAAGCAAGCAACAAACAAATCAA